ACCATTTACCCTAAAGCCTCAAACACTTAGACAAAGAATGGCTGAAGAAACAAGTACATATTTAATTTATTTACAATATATGAACATCAAGGCTTTTTATTAGGATATAATATTATGATTAAAATCTCCATAAAAGCATAATGTAGTGTCTCATAGTCTAAAGCCATGGTTGGCAAACCGCGGCTCGAGAGCCACATGCGGCTCTCTGGCCCCTTCAGTGTGGCTCTTCCACAAAATACCATGTGCGGGCACGCACATACAGTGCAATTGAAACTTCGTGGCCCATGCGCAGAAGTTGGTATTTTGTGGAAGAGCTACACTCAAGGGGCCAAAGAGCCGCATGTGGCTCATGAGCTGCGGTTTGCCGAGCCGCAGTTTGCCGACCACTGCTCTAAAGGATATTAAAGTTTTTTTTTATTTAATACCAATTTGGTCAATGACATCATGACCGCTAAAAGACATGTTTGTATCAAAATTTTCTCAAAGGGTATGTATAATATTATTTACTACTAGAGGCCCAGTGCACGGATTCATGTATGTGGGGTTCGTGGCCTGCAGGGATTGGCCAGCTGTGGGAGCAGCCATTCATCCCAGTCAGCCAAACGATGCTCCCACTATGGGAGCTCACTGACAACCAAGGGGCAGCTCCTGTGTTGAGTGTCTGCCCCCTGGTGGTCAGTGCACATCATAGTGACTGGTCGACCAGTCATTCTGTTCTGGTCGTTCCGCCATTCGGTCGCGGGGCTTTTATATATATAGACTAGAGCAGCAGTCACCAACTGGTGGTCCGTGAGGTTCGAAAGTTGGGCGACCGCCGGACTAGAGGCCCAATGCACGAAATTTGTGCATGGGGGAGGGAGGTCCCCTCAGCCTGGCCTGTGCCATCTTGCAATCTGGGATCCCTTGCTCCTAATTGCCCGCCTGCTCACTCCTTACCACTTGGCTCGCCACTCCTTACCGCTGCCTGCTCGCTCCTTACCGCTTGGCTCACTGCTCCTTAGCACTGCCATCGAGGCCGGAGAGGCTCCCGCCACCGCCGCTGTGCTTGCCAGCCATGAGCCCGGCTTCTGGCTGAGCAGTGCTCCTGCTATGGGAACACACTGACCACCAGGGGGCAACTCCTGCGTTGAGCATCTGCCCCCTGGTGGTCAGTGCGTGTCATGGCGACTGGTTGTTCTGGTTGTTCCGCCCTAAAGGTCACTGGGCTTTTATATGTATAGTAGAGGCCCGGTGCACAAAATTCTTGCACAATTAGGGTCCCTAGGCCTGGCCGGCTATAAGAGCCGATCTGCGGGGCTACCAGTGGGGCAGTTGGGGGGGCCTTGGCTGGCCTGGGGCATGTGGGCTGGGGGCAGCTCCTGCATTGAGCATCTGCCCCCTGGCTGGTCAGTGCGCATCATAGCGACCAGTCATTTGCTGTTCGGTTGATTTGCATATATTAGGCTTTTATTATATAGGATAGATCATTTGATCTCCACTTGATCTTTTTGACAGGTTAAAAAAATTTCAAAGTCTTATTTTTGGTATTGAAAACTTTCATTGTCACCTTTATAAAGATGGGTTTTTATTGATTTTGTGGTGTTTGGTTTTTTTAGAGTGAAAGGGAGAGGGGCGGGAGAGAGAGAAACATTGATGTGAGAGAGAAACATTGATTAGCTGCCTCCCCCACACAACCCAGTCGGGAATTGAACCTGAAAACTGGGCATATGCCATGGCCAGGAATTGAACCAATGACCCTTCAATGCACAGGACAATGCTCAACCAACTGAGCCATGCTGGCCAGGGTGTATAAAGATTATTTTTTAAACGTGTAACATCTACAGGGATTTTAGGTGTCAGGTATTAAAATCTTCCCTGCTATAATAAACAATTTCCTCAACCAATAATCTTTAGATCTCAAAGGACCATTTTTACATTTCTCATTTATAAACAATATTATGTTTTGCCAACATTTTTGTTACTTCAAATACTATTATTTCAGAGTGAGAGTTGGTTCCTTATAACCCAAAAATTATTTTTAAATATTTAGATTCTCATGCAGAATTGAGAAACTGATAGGAAAAATCAAATGTTTCTTTTTTTTTTTTTTCAGGCTTTTTTTTATGAGTCTATGATGTTTTGAGTGGGACAGTTGGGTGATGAATACAGTTTCTGGAGTTAAATTGATAGATTCAAGGCCCAGCTTCAACACTGTCTTCAGACAAGTTATTTAACCTTCTAATAATTGAGTTTTCTCATTTACAAAATGAGAGTAAATATTGTGAAGAATAAGTTAACACATCTGAAAGGCTGCTAAGCCAGCACATAATAAGCCCCCCAAAAACGTTAGCTGCTGTATTAGAATTGGAAAAATATTGAATATTTATACATGAACTGTTGTTGTTTTTCCTAGCAACCGGAAATGAAGAAACAAGTGAAGAAAGTCAGGAAGATGAAAATCAAGATATTTGGGAACAGCAGCAAATGAGGAAAGCAGTTAAAATCATAAAGGTAATATTTTTTTATGTCATGTATTAGTTTCCTGTGGCTCCTATAACAAATTGCCACAAATGTGACAGCTTAAAGCAAGAGACATTTATTCACCCACAGTTGTGGAGTCTGGAAGTCTGAAATCAGGGTGTTGCAGGGCTATGCTCCCTTTGAGGGCTCTCAAGGAAAATGTATTTTTTGCCTTTTCTACAGGGATAAACTAGAACACACCTTAGAGGGCTTGCACCTCCAGGTGTTCCTTGCTTTGTGACTACATTACTCCTTTGCCTTCTTCACATGGACTTCGCTGTGCTTCTACACCAGTGGTTCTCAACCTTGGCTGCACATTAGAATCACCTGGGAATCTTTTTAAAATCCTGGTTTCTGGGCCTCACCCTCCGGAAATTCTGTTTCTTTGTTATGGGGTGGGGCCACAACATTAGTAACAAAGAAACAGAATTTCCGGAGAATGAGGCCCAGAAATCAGGATTTTAAAGATTCC